ATTAAGGAGTACAGAGCAGGGATGTCCAACAGTGGATCCTTGGGCAGGACAAGTGTGGTTCCCAGGCTGGAGTGGACTCACATGATGAGCAGTGGGTTGTGCAGGCATAGAGTTTGCCAGGTGACCTCAGGCACCACCTCTGAGAAGAAGTATGTTGGCAGAGATTACCCCCCAGCCCCATGGAAAACATGGTCCCATGGGGATCAGGTAAACCCAAGCTGGAGCTTTCTCTTCTTTCTTAACCTTTGGCCATATGAGGGTTTTGGCAGGCAGCTTACAGGAGCATGAAGGTTGGTCACCCTGGAGTAACCTCACTTCTCCAGCCTCAAGACATTCACTTGCCACTGCTACACAGCAGAGACCCACGGGTCAGTTGTCACTCTGTCAGGTACACAACTCTTCTACCTCTCATTTCCAACCAGCTCCCTTCCCATGTGTCAGTTTGTCCCTGCTACACATTTCTAATGCTGCTTTGTGCAAATGTTTTAGTGCATGTGGAAGGAAATGCAGCAGAACCTGCCCAACCACTGATCTGTCTACTAGCAAGATGCCCTTTCTGGGTCAGCGCAGTGCAATTTTATTGGCATAGGAGCCTGTCTGGCTCCTAAGTAAATTCTGTTGCTACTGCTATCTTTAAGTTAGAGCAAACTTAAATAATTCCCATTCAGCCAAAGGAATGTGACTGCTGGGCTGACTGCAGAGCAGTCATGTCCTTCCACCAGCTAAGAGTCACTTGCAAAAGGTGTTTTGGGAATGGTCATTATAATAATTTTCTTTTAAACTTGGGTACACCTTATCCATGCAAAGAAATATTTTTCAATAAATAAGCATTCCAGGTGCCCATGCTGCTGTTATCATTGAACAAATATTTTATTTAGGGGGCATGGAAATAGGTTTATAAGGTTTTTTATCAAACACAATCATTAGCTGTTGATAAAAGAACACAGATTGCCCCATATATTGGGGCTAATAGAATTGGCTCCCCTGTTCTAATATATTCTGCAAATTTATTGTAAGACAATTTGTACACAATAGTAATATTTTCATGCTACATTTTTTTGAGGGCAGATTTTAAAGTGTGGGTATGATTTACAGGCTCGGATGTATTTGTAAAGTCTAATGAAGTAATAATGGCACTCTCACATGAATGATGCTACAGGAAAAATATCTACATGTAAGTTGTCACGTAACTTTCCATAAGTGCCCTGTATCTGTACTACAGCAGGTGGAGGGTGAAATCCCAAGCAACATTAGCTAAAACACATTAGGCTGACCTTGCAGTCTCTTAACAATTTTACAGCATAAAAATCCAAACAAACTCTTCACATTATACTTAAAAAAAATTGTATGAAGTCAGGAGCCTGTCTTTCTAGATATGACCAAACGTGCTTTCTTTTTTCCACTTGTACACTTCAGGTATCACTTCAGGTAAGTGACGATAGGACTTTCTGAACAACACTTTTAGTGTTATGTGAAGATTAGCTGTGATGCAGAAGCCTTGGAATTTCTCTTGAATGTGTTCTTGACCTTTCATAAACCAATATTACTGAATTATTGCAATGGATATAATTAATTATTTTTTCTTACAGCTATTTAAGAACAAAAATAATGTCACAGACAATTTAAATACAATTCAACACCATCTAACTAAATTTTCCAGCTAATAAAACACAAAGTAGAAGTGGCAGAAATAAAAATCTTCCAGTGTACTACTTTCCCCTTGGGCAATTTCCAAAGTAAATATTAAAGTCAGCATTCAGTTGCTCGCATCTTTTTGCAAATAACCATAGCAAATCTCTTAGTAATGCTGAGTCCCTTGTAAAGGTATGACAAGATATCCACTAATGAGTAATCCTTAAAACTGACATTTAATATTCCACCAAAGAAGCTAAAACATTTACAGTTCTTACATGCCACACCTTAATGTCCTTTTTAATTATTTTAAGCCAGATAAAATGAACCATAATAAGACTGATTTGTATGAAGTCATGACAGGAGTTTCCATTCTCATGAAAACAAAACTGGTGTAAAGTCCAGCTCCTACTGACTTCAATAATTAAACCAAATTTTCACTGCCAGCCTTTGACTTCCATCTTGCATGTCACCAAAAGAAACAGAGCAATTGTTCTCAAATACTAACAGGCAGGTGGAGTGAGCATCGACAATTTTAGTTTCAGAGAGATAACATATCTTTTGATACTTTTAGGAATGAGTGGTAAATAAAAAATATAGCCCTTGAATTACTGTGACATAAACCCTAGAGTCTACAGAGGAACATTACATCTTTAGAACGTGTCTGTGGTGTGCTAGCCTAATTTTGACCTCAAAGCATCTGAACATAGACAGTTTAACACATTCAAATCTTCAAACAACTGAGTGGATTTGTTGGTGCTTGCATCTCATTACTTCAGATTTTCAGCCACCTATAGAGAGGCAAATACCTGTCACCTTCCAAGGGCATATTTCCATGTAAGCAATAGCTGTCCTGATTATCACCAGATGTCCTAGCCCAGGATGGACAGAAGGCAGGGTCTGCTTTTGAAGCCACAAATATAAGTGTTCCAGTGAGGTCCAGTGGACCCTTTTGAGGGTATGGAATGTGGAGCAGGTCCTTGAATCTTCAGGTGTCATTCCTGACATCCCACTCTCAGACTGGGATCTGCCCTCCTGGGTCAGCACACATGGCAGACAACAGTCTGAACCTGAAGACCTTCAGGGACAGCAACCTTTGCTCCACTGAGATGCCCACACGAGACTCTGTCAGGGCAGAAGAGGCAAATGTGATGCTAGCTTTCCTGTTAGTCATTTACCAGCTCCCTGGTGGCCCCCAGGCCCATCTTGGGTGGGTCTGTCTGCTCCATCTCCCCAGGACAATGGGGTGAGCGTGGCTGCTGGCATCCCCTCTATATCAGCCACGTCAAGCTCCATGACTGTCTCTATAAAGATGATCCTAATCCTCTGTTGCCTGCTACAACAATTTTGGTACAAGTCAAATGGTAGAATTTTATTACCATTTCGGTTTTCAGTTTTTTTATTTTACCTTAAGCTATGGAAAGTGTGTTTTTCGATACCTTGCCAGGTTGCATCAGTAAGCCTGACACTAGTCTCCTGGTCACTCCCACAGTTGTACATTTGGGGAAGCCCAGTCCCTAAGCCTATGTCCATACAACCTAGAGAGATTCTGGAAAAAAATATTACACAACCCAAAATGCATGCTAAGCAGGAACAATGCTATTACACTGAATAAGGTCCGCATGACAAATGCTAAAGTGACGCCTGCAAAGTCAGTCACTCGTGGCCATGGTGCAAACTGTTGTCAATAAATAGGTGGGTATGCAAACCTGCCTTTGAGGAAAGGCTTTAACCACAGGTAAAAGTGCTTTGCTTAGTATTATCAGTGACATCTGGTGGTAATAGACAGTAAATTCAGTTTAAATATTTTTAAAGGTTATGTGTGATTTTAAGTGGCTCATTCCAATTGAAGTATTTTACAAAGTTGTATTTCCTAAAGTGTATTTCTTTCTGACAAAACCATATAATGACCGTGTGACATGCCAGGAGCAAAGACTAACCACGTCTGTATATAGCATAGTATTTTTTGGTGGTGGGAAACACTGGAACCAAGTAACCCACCAAAATATTTAGTGTGCCTGAAAAGCAGTTGATAAACATCCGTTCTTTGTTACTGTTTGCTACATATAGCCTTGTGTTTCAAATCTTATAGTCCCTCCAAATCAATGAGTATGGCAACAATTCAATAGGTGAAGATGGGGGATCAGTGTCAGCTAAGGCAGAAAGAAGCATGAGTGCAGCTGGGGGCTAGTGATGAGTGGGCTGGAGTGAGACACCACACACCCTACCACAGCCAGTGTAGGGGCTGCCAAGGAGAAGCCAAGCACTCACCTGGACCCTGTTTCTGTGTTCCCAACAACTTCTTGGGCTGGACACCTTTTACAGGGGACTCTGTAGGTCTCAGCTGAAAGGAGCAGAACCAATGCATATGGAGAAGCCCCTTCCTTAATTCTGCACTTAACTTCATGGTGTACAAGGAAGACTTTTTTTGTTTTAATATCTTCACTGAGGAGAAGTTCCTTTCTGATTTTGCCCAAGTTTAGAATCAGAAGCTTGTTTCATACAGGAGAGATGTTTTGACAGTGCTTGGGGAACTGCATCTCTCCTTTTGTTGCTTGTATGGCCCCATGTACTCTCTTTTCTTCTTGAGTGAAAAATGGAGAAAGTTGTCTGCCCAGAAAATCACATTTCTGACTCCCTATGTGCACCTCTCTTGCTGCTTTTCTGAATGCAGCTCTAGAAAGCAAAAGCTGCAAGGACTTTGCTGTAATTTTTAAATGTGGTGTTTCAGTAAGGTAAATATTATCCAACAAATGAACAGTAAAATGAAACAAAATGTGAAACCTAACTTAAAACATACACCAGGCATCCATGAATGCTCTAACGCCATGTTCTCTGTAATGTCTGTGACTCTTTTTGAAAATGGGTCCTGATAGGATGTTTCATGGCACAGATTTCTGAACCCAGCATCTAGACTTTACAGTTTCAGCTCACCTTGAAGAACAAACAGCTCTTGGAGCAGTTAACTTTGATAAGGAAAGTGTAAAAAAGGACATGGATAACATATCAGCTATGCTGAAAATGTGTCTTTCTTTTCTTGTTCCTCCTGAGAAGCAGTGACAAAATAGAGATGCTTGGATCTATTATGTTGGGAGAATGATGCTCTTTCAAGCCTGCCAGAAAGATCCTTGAGGTATCTGCACATCTGTAGCAAAATGTGCTTAAGGCAGATATTTAACATTAGGATTTAATTCTGTTTTGTGAGTGTTGTCATTTGAACTTCTGGAAAGTATTCCTGTAGAAAAATACTGCATTAACATATTGAACTGTCAGCAAATCTCTGGGTTTCCACAGACGTATTAACATATCAAATTAAAGAATTTGGCCCAGCAACCCCAGTCTGCCACATCCCCAGTCCATTCTCATACCCGTGGAGCTGTCTGTGTGCTCTGGTGACTCCTCAGCTGAGGCACAGACAGGGAAAGCAATGTCCTCCTCAAATATTTCTGAGCAGTTGTTTATAAGGAACTCCACCAACACTGTCACCTGCACACAGAAAACAGCTCATTTCAGTCAAAAGGGAAGAACACATATTGAGCAGTCTTTCCTGCCTGGTGCTGCAGACAGATGGATCTGCCCCAATACAAACAAAATGCCATCAGCCACAGCTTTGGCCTCGCTGCCCAGAGGACCCATGGGTGACAGTGCTCACTGTGTGCCTCTTGCCCTCTGCATGCAAAGTATCCAGGAACTGTGCTGGGACTTAGGGGACTGTGGGGCAGCTGCTGCTTTTGCTCAGAGGAGGCAAAATGAGGGGCAGTCTGGCCCATCAAATCGCAGGCTGAGGGCCACCCTTGATATCCAGGGGTGCTGTTCTGTTGAGCTTTTGCAATGGCAGTGGGATCCCTATGGATGGTTCTGAGCTGCCCCAAAGGGAGTGGCTGCTTGGTCAGTTCAACATACCTTGTCATTCATCTCCTTCTGTACTTCCAGTGGCAGCGTGCTGCCTGTCTCTGGGCTCAGCATATTTGGGCCAACACAGATGGCCAGGTTGCTGGAGTCCATCCTGTTGGTCTCAGCATTTTGGCTGATGTGGCGGAGCAGAGAGAGCAAGTGCTTGAGCAAGACGAGGTTTGGTTTAGGCAGTTTGTCAGCCACCCTGCAGGAACAGAAACAAAATGTGACATTAATTGATGGTGCAGTGGCTTCTGCTTCTTTATTTGAGCATGACTCAATTAAATTCAGACAGACAATGCTTCCTCCAGAAAGAGGCATGTGTGTGCTCACTGTATCACTCAGAAATCCCCAACCACAGCTGAGTGTGTGGTTAATTCTAAGATCTTGAATTACAAGGTCTTGATTGAAAGGCAGCATTGCAGCAGCCCATGTCCTTGAGTAGATGGGATGACATCAGGAGCTGCCACTGGAAGTTTCCCAAAAGCAGGTGAAAGCCTGTGGTTGTGCTGTGCAGGTTTCAAAGCAATACCGGTCAGCCTCTGCTTCTGCTCTTTCTAAAGAGCAAAACACGGCAGTGGTCTCCACGTGCCCAACTTCACTGCCAGCAGATATGAAGGCTCCCTTTCAGTGACAGTCCCACAGCACCATGATGCTAGCTGAGACACTGCAGCCTCTGCCCTTTTTGTATAATAGCCATTTTGTAGGGCAACCACCATTGGGTGGTCCAATTGGGGTTTGTCCCAGACAAAATCGAGTGTAAGTGGCAAGGGTGGGAAAAGAGTCTCACTGGGAAGGTCACAAAGGACTCCGAGACATGTAGCTGAAGCAGGACTGTGCAAGCCAGGGCTGTATGAACCCAGGGAACAGGAATATGGAGAGGGATAAGGACATCTCTTCAAAAAGCCTATGGGCTGCCACCACTAAGTCCCAAGTGCAAAAGTCATTCAGACCCTCAAGATACTTTAGAAAAAGTTACTATGGTTACTTCATGCATCACCCCATAGCTGAGGAGACCCAGAATGAAGGTGGGTAGTTGGGTGTTGGTCAGTCGCAGCTTCCAGAGGGGCTGCTGCTCCCCAGGGTATGGGGACTGGCACACAGCTGCTGTCTGCACATGGGTCTGCACAGCTGGGGCTTGGGCACTACAGGGTCCTTGGCTGCTGCAGTTGTCAACTGCAGGTTTTTTGAGAACTGAGGAAAATTGCAGTCCTGAATGTGTCAGCTGGAAGGAAATGGTTTTGACTTTGTGTTTGATAAGAAGCCTGCCCCGCCTGTGGCTTTGTTAAGAAGCTTTTCACCTCCCCACAGGGCTCTCCAGTTTGGCTCTGCACTCGTGGTTGCACAGAGGAGGCTCCGGGGGTTTCCAGCTCCCGGTCCTACTCAGAGCCCCAGCATCATCCCCCGAGTGTGTGTGTACACGTGGGTGCAAGGGGACGGTAAACTGACACAGCAGGCGCTAGAGGGCAGGACAGCCCACAGCAATCGGGTCGCAGAAACAGGTAGAAAGACACTACTGATGTCACCTATCGCACACCCTGCACTAGTGACTTCCCTCCTCTGCTAAACCCCAAAGGCATCGGCCTTTTGCAAAATCTGGTCATATTCATAATGTGAGGATCCAAAATCTAGAGTCACCCTACACAATCCACAGTAAGAGCACCAGAGACTCAGAATGGTTTGAGTTGGAAGGGACCTTTAAAGATTATCTAGTCCAATGCCCTTGACATGAACACATGTCCTCTACTCAGTCCAAACCAGGATCCTGGATTTCAGGGCTTTCTAACTGCAGCTGCTGAGTGTTTCCACAGCATGCCTCAGCTTTCAAAAAGTTCAGCAGAGCTGTTTCAGTCTGTCATTTGAATGAGATTGGGGGAAAAAATACATTTCCCTGTCTGTATTCAACCACATTTTTGGATGTCCCGGTAAGTAACCCTTGTCACCTCCTTGCCAGGATTTGGTGGTTTAGCTTTCCACCGCCATTAGGAGATGCCTCAGCTGGAAGTGGGAGAAATTGTGCAGCACAGCTCCCGCACACTTTGTGAGAGTAAAGCAGAGGCTTTAGCACACAGATAGGCAAGATGCTGAACTTCTGCTTTCTGTTTGTGGTTCGTACAGAAATCTTCCTGCAATATTCGTGAGAAAAAAGGATGTAGCAGAGTCAAACCATTGAAAGCCAGAAGTTATTCTCTGGAGCAAATCTTCCAAAAAGTTTGTATCCCACATGGGCTCCAAAAACCCTGGGGAAATTTTCAGAAGTACTTAAGCTCCTGGCTGCTTTGAAAACATGTCCAGGGACATTGTCCATGTGGAAATCTAGTCCCACAGCTCAGTGGAAATGACAGTACACTCCTTTCTTGCTACTGCTTCACTTCTGAAATTGAATACAGAGACACAAATGCCAATTACACATAGAGCAGGATGTGTAAAACCAAATGAAACACTCAACAGCCACCTGGAAAATGCATGCTGTGCCTCAAAAAGCATAGATTATCGTGGGCTCATTACCAAACCCTGTGTAGGGAGCAACCTTGTTCTGTTTGCACACTGCATTAAACTCACTTAGTCTGCAGTCCCAGAGCTGCGATTGGCGATTCATGCCCTCCAGCCCCTCTGGCTGCTTTCCCAAGAGCAGAGCTCCCGGCACAGACCCCGACACCGCTACTACCCTGCTCCCCAGCTAAATAGCTGCCTGCATAAAACACTAGCATTTTCTCTTCATGGAAACCTGGAGGGAGTGCTCAGCAAACATTATGCAATGCACTTAGAGCAATGTTTTCAGAAGGAATGCATTCCCGCTGTCTCTCTGCTCAGGATCAGTAATTCCTCTGGTGCTCTTTGGCCTAAAGGGACAAATACTACCTCATCCCACACTGCCTGATACCTGTTTTCCTTCAGACCATGGACCTGGACTCTCTTGCAAGCAGCTCTTGCTAGTCAGGGCTGGGGATAAGAAAAGGGTGCAGATGTGCCTCTTTTCCAAAGTGTACCAACCCTTGAAGGTACAGATCCTGAACAGTTGTTGTAGAATGTCCTAGCATACTCAGATCCACCGCATTTGCAATGCTTGACCTATGCGCAGTGGCTCTGGGTATGTGTGATCCATGACATCCCTCCACCTTGTTAGCTGACATGAACAGAAATGTCCATTCGGGGATGACATGAACTCTGAGCTTGGAAATAAACACCAGGAGAGTCCCTCAAGAACATCTGGATGACTGAACAAACCCACCTGGGCACAGGTTGCCTCAAACACACTGCACGTGCCAGCTACCAGCACTGCAGTCAGCATTTGTCCTGGGTGCAAAGTGATTGTGTGGCCCATGCAAGAGCCAGGTGGTCACCATTGCTAAATCTCCTTCTGAGCAGAGAACCCCTGAGCTGCAGAGGCACACCACCCAGCCCCCAGCACACACATGAAGTAAGACTCATTCACTGCATGGTCCCTGTCAAGGATTCAGATCATCACACTTCCCAGCCCTCTGATCCAACCCACAGAGCAACCAGCACACAAATGAGAGGCTGCACATCTTTTTAAATAAAATCTCAAGGAAAGAAGGATTATGGTGTTTGTCTTCTCAAGCCACCGTTACACATGCTGATGCTCTGCTTCCCAGGGAGTGGTTTGACATCTGCCTGATGATGGGAAGCAAGGAACGAATTCCTCTTTTTGCTTTGGTCACATGCACAGCTTTTGCTTTTCTTATTAAGCTGTCTTTATCTTGACCCTTGAGGTTTTTTTTAATCTTATTTTCTCCCCCTGTCCTATTGAGGAGAAGGAATGAGAAAGCATCCAGGGAGATGTCTGGCAGCCAGCCAAGATCAACCCACTAGTCCTTTTTCTTGCCACCCAACATGGGGCACGAGATAACGCCAGTTTTGATCTGGGCATACTATAGCTGTGGCAGCTGATAATTGGCAGGCTTCTGCATGGCTCACAGGGCTCGTTTGATTTACTGCATAACAGAGCCTAAGGCTCTGCAGTGGCTGCTTTCAGCTCCTGCCTTTGCTGCAGTGCTTATCTCTGTGTTTTGCTGTGCCTGGAAACATTCTGATAAAAGCAGCAGCCATGTGCTTGGCCCTAGCACAGGTACCCTCCCTGTGCCAGGAGGCCTGTCCTGCAGAGAGCTGAGGGATTGCATCTCTCTCTTCCCCTCTAGGGCTGATGTGTCTGCCTTCATCTTCAGAGGTCCTCACCAAATCCCTATCTAAGCTGCTTGATTAATGTAATCTTTTTGTCATTTGCATAGAAACTGATTTTAGTCTGATGTCATGAGGAAACAGTTTGCCAGTGAGGTGACAAGGAAATGTGCCCTTAGGCCATCAATCCCTGGGTTGCAGGGTATGTGGGAGGACTTGGGCAGGTGCCTGGGTTATCACCTCCCATAGCCTGTGATCTTGCACCTCTACAGGCATGTAATCCCATTCAATTGGTGCACTACTTGGTGGAGGGGTGCCTTGCCTGCCCCGGTGAAACCCAGAAGCTCTTAGCACTTCCCTAGGGCTTTTCTTGTGCTTCTTGAGCCTCCCTTCAGCACCATCAAGGGAACATGGTTGAGACAGGGACCCAAACCGCATCTGGGAACACTATGGATAAGACAGGGATCAAAACCCTAACTACAGTAATTGCCTTAGTAGTCAAAAAGAAGCACTGGATACAGAGGTCAATGGGTCCATATCATCAATTAGTACAGGAGTAGGAGGAGGAACGGTCTGATCAGGAAGCTGCTCCTTCAGCAAGGAATCAAGAAGAGGAAGTAAAAGAAATCACCGAGAGGTGATAGTGGGTCCCTAACCTTTGGCAGACTTCACGATATGCTGCAATGTTATAGCCACCAGCCAGGCGAGCAGATTGCTGCCACTACCACTGAAGAAGGCATCCAACATCTGAGAGAATTAGTAGTGCTGGAAAGTCTTCTACAGTGACCTGGATGACAACCATGTCTCCGAAGATCCTGATGTCCAGTGTACATGAGCAAGTACTAGAAGGGTTGTCCGAAATTCACCAGCATTATATTCCAGCCACCTGGAGATGATGGACTGACTAGACTCTGATATACCAGCTGCAGAGAGTGACCCATTGGATCTGACTTTTGAAGAAAACCTGTTTCTCTCCTTGTACCCACAGGCCAGCACCTTGACTGTCAGGGGTGCCCAGACACACACTGCATGCCACTCTCTGGTTTCTCCTGTGTGACTGGGCAGGGGACATGAGGAATTGAGATGGTGAGCCCCCTGTGAGTTAGGAGCCCATGTACAGAAATTGAGGGGGAAGAGGGAAGGCAGCTGATCAAGAGGGCCATCCAAGACGGCTGTCAGTTCAGCCGCTGTTGAGATGGTGGAAGGCAACCAGCAACCTACCAGGTATGGAAGAGGACTAAGGCTGTCTTCTTGGTTTTGGTGAAGGGACTTCTGGTCTGAAAGGGTCTCCAACCTGGAACAGAGGGTCACTGCCTTTGGTCAGCAGGAGGAAAGTGAATGACTGGCTTTACTGGACTGTGTGGATTTGATGACCTGGCATACTGGATCCGCAGAATTCTAAAGCTTTGGTAGACACTGGTGCACAGTGTAGCCTAATGCCATTACAATACATCAGGTAGGAACTTCCAGGGAGTAAGAACGAGCAGTGTTGACTGAATGTCAGTGAGATGCTGTCCCTGTCCCAAGGAAAACCCAGGTGCTGGCACAGGTCCTGCACTCTTCAGGTGGTCCGAGCAGTGCCGTTAGCGACACCTGAGGAGTAATTGTCAACAGAAGCGATGGTACCAGAGCCTGGATCTCAGTATGTACAAGACGTGGCAGATGGAGTGCAAAAGCAAATGGGCTGGCTAGCAGCCGGCACGTTAGTAATGAAGTGTCACAGGAGCTCGCAGACTCCTCTCTGATTTTACTGGGCTATGTTCCAGAGTGCGTCTTCACCTTTTTTTTTTTCTTAAGTATCTGCAAATGAAAACCTGCTAAGCTCTTGGATAAGTGTCTCTTTAACTTCTCAGTCTCTTATGAATTTCAAATAGCAATTTTTTATCATGTTAATTGGTGACTGATTGTTTTAATTAGGCATCCCAGTTAACCTGACACTGCTAACAGGTGTGAGGCTTTGTGCAGATCAAAACATGTTTGGTTTTGTTTTTTTTTAGCATAAGCATCAAAAAGAAGTATGAATTGTAAGAAATAAGATGACTCTGTTTGCAATTCTGATTTTCATTTTCTTTCTTTCACTGCAGTCTTCAGTTGTCCCCTTTTGAAATTATCCAGTATTTTACATGCAGAAAGGTCCTGGCCAAGACACTGTGTGAGCTTAGAAAAAATTTCTTCCCTTTGCAGCAATCCAGAAAACATTTGTGACCTAAACAGCAAAGCAACAGTCTGTCTCAAAACTGTCCAGTTTGAGCTAATATCAAATAATAAACACATTTGTAAATGTAGAAATCAATCACTCTGATCATGCTGTCTGGGAACATATTGCAACTTCCAGAAAAGCTGGCCGGCATTCATGTCCTGGAGGGCTTAACTGAGCCTTCACAATAGTTGCACTGATGATGCCAAACCTCGTGTAACTTCCCTGTTGATTTCTGCAGGCTGCCAGAGGATGTCACAGAGAGAACCCAGCAGCTCAGAGAGAAGTTTTGTTAGTATTTTATACAAGTGATGCACTCAGCAATAAAGCTGAAAAAATGCAAGAGGAAAAAACCCAAACAAAAGAAAAAGCCCTCCAGAAATCCCTGGATCATCAGAGCCAGAAAAGGGAGAATAATGCTGGCAGAGCTAGGTACCCAGTTTGCAGTTGCTGACTGTACACAAGCAGGGGCAGAACTGCTGTCATTCAATGCAACTTATGTGGGAGTCTGTATCCACCTGTCCTTTCAAGGGGTCTGAGTGGTTCTGAAAGGTGCTATATTTTGCTGTTTGGGATGTTTTTCCCCTTAGGAGTGCATTGCGGACAGTAAGAGATGTGAAAATTCATCCCTCCCACTCAAGGACAAACTGGAGCTCTTAGTAACCATCCCACATTTGACAGGACATTTGTCCTTTTCATGGGAAAAAGCAGTTCCTATGCTTTTTTTTCCTAGCAAAAATACCATAATCCAGACTGCAAGAGCTGATGTCCCATCTGTAGGCAATTCATCATTACTTGAAACAAATCCTTTAATTTTATCTCTAGCTGCCAAGCAGCACAACTCAGTGAGAGCAGGTCACTTGTAAAACATGCTGGTTAAGTACAGGCAAGTCTGTAGGAAAATAATCTGCTTTGAACTGATAAAGCTTTCTAGTGCTTAGATAACTTAGATTTCAATAAGAAGATGGAAAGTGTTGGGTAGTAGAAAGTCAATCCCAGTTATTTAAGAGCTCTGTGCAATTCTTACTAGACTTTAAAGGGTGATTCCCCAAACCTGTACCCAGGACTAGCTGAGGATGTGTTTTCCAGACCGAAGTGGACACTTGAATGGATGATGAATGCATTACAGAGTCTATACCTCCAGGACAATGGTGATACATTGGCTAGCCCTTAAGTGGCTTGGCCCCATCCCTCCTTCCTGCATGCCCGATGGGCACAAATTTAGGCTTCAAGTTCTCCAGCACTGGTGCTCGTTATTTCCGACACCCTACGGTGTTACATTCATACCTACCACGTCGCCTCGGTAATGATCCTGGCAGGAGAGCGCTTGGCTGTGAAGAAGCCGTGAAGGCTTTTTTCTTCGAGAGTCACTTTTCGCTTTTCACTTCATTTCTTGCTGCACCTATCGATTTTTGGGCTCTCCTCTCCCGGCAGGCCCGTCCCTGCCAGCGGCCCGGTCGACATGCCGGCGGACCCCCAGGGTCTGCTGCGGGAGGGAGCGGCTCCTCCCTCGGCGGGGAGGGCTGGGGGCGGCCGGCGCCGGGGTCTCCGCTCACTCTCTCCGGCTCCGTGCCCGAGGCGGACCCGGACCCGCCGCCCAGGGCTCCTGCAGCCCCTCCCGGAACGATGCCAGGGCCGCGGGCAGGCGGCGGCCCCGCGCCCGAGGCGGTGAGTGCGGGGCGCGGCGGGGCGGGGGTGCGGCGCGGGGCAGCCCCCCTCCTTCACGGGTGTTAGGGACGATGCTGGCTGCTGCCGGCGCAGGTGATTTACGGATAGAGGCAGCTGAGGAACTGCCAGGGATCTGAGCCTGGTCCTGAATCTGGTAACAAGCGAACTCCGAGACTTCCCTCGTACCACTCTGGCGATGCGCCTCCCACGGCACTGGGCCGGTGCCGGACTGCTGGGCTCCGCGGGTTCGTGCTCTCAGCCCCGTAGGGCAGAGCTCTCCTTATCCCGAGAATGGGACCGCGGGAGCCGGTGGTGTCAGGATCAGACGAGCAGTTCCTAGCTGCTTGCCAGAGATGGGATTTAGAGACTGCTTGACGATATCACTGCACTGTCAGATTGCTCTGGTACCGTGTTAGGGCAGCAGAGTCCTGAAAAACAGAACAAAATAAAACCCTCACCCACGAGTAAATGGACATTGGTTAAAATAAAACCGTGAAGGTTCTTGGCTATATCTGTGTGAGAGAGAGTTAAAAAGGGTTGTGGGTTTGTGTTGTTGTTCTTCTTCTCTTTCTTCTTCTTAAGGAGAGGTTTAACATCGTTGCAAGAGACACATTTCACATTAGCGCGTGCTGTGAACTCTGTCCCACAGCACCTGGTAGTCTGGTATGAGCCCAGGACCAAAGCCTGGTCCCCTGGGGTGTCTCAGCTGCAGCGATTGCTCCTGTCAATAGGGAGAAAGGCCCCGGCCACCAGCCCATCGATTTCGAGGCCAGAAGGGACCGTTACATCATTTAGTCTGACCTCAGACAGGAGCAAGGTGCTGGCTGGGCTGGCTGGGAAACAAAAAGAAAACTGCAGAGGACTGAATCTCTGCACTGAGCCATGGCCTTTCTTCATGGCATTATCAGCTTTGATAAATAGATTTTTCTGCTAAAAATGAGATTATTGGCAGGGGCTTTCTGCATGGATCCCTTACACAGAGATGCATGGATGATAAGTAGAAGCTTCAGAGCTTCCAAATATAAAGCCTGGAAGAGTATTTTATGTGATAACTGATCTGGTTTTCCATTTTACCTCCTACTCTTCAAAACTAAGGCTGATGGCAGAAATGGATTATTTTCCAATGAGAAAGTGCTTACTTAAAAAAAAAGAGAGTTAAGAGGAAAAAAGAGAAACAATTAACAGTTACATTTTCTTCAAAGTTGTCTGTAGAAACACTTTAAAAATTTGAAAATTTCAGATATGCATATTTTTCTCTCTCTTCTTCCTATTTCTTTCTTTTTAACCTCTCTTTATTGTTCTGTTTCTGAGAGATAAAAAAAAAGAAAATAGTAGGTGATTATTTAGCAGAGAAAATTGGGATGCTGGCTGCCCCAAGATCAATTTTTACTTAACTTTTTTCAAAAGTAACTTTTCAATACACATTGAAAAAAATTGCTATTTTCTTTAGACATAATACAGCCCCAGTACTCCCATCCATAGCATGAGGGTGGATCCGTCTTACTGCACCTTGATGCTTCACTTCTAGTTTTATGGATCTATTTTACTTAAGCCTGATGCTTTCTCAGAATACCAGCAGTCTCTGAAAATGGAACAAGTTAGTACCAATAAGGCTCTTCACCTTACATCCCACTGTTTTTTATATTAACAATGTCCACAAACCCCTTGCAATGGCACAGGAATGGAGCATCACAAGGAAGTTCAGGCTGTGCTGGGACATGATCCCCTGAGGCAAGAAGGGTGACTCGATTCCACAGCCCTGTGTATACATCAGTCCAGTGCACCATCTGCCACAGACCTCTGGGTCCTCCTGGGAGCTTGAGAAATGCGTATCTACAGCAGACACTCATGGATGTCTGGCTTGCATGATGTGGCAGGAAAAGGGACGACAGTGTTTGCGGTTAATGAGGTCCACTGCAAAGCTGCTTCCTGCAGTAATTTATTACCTTGGAAAGCAGGGGTGTGATGCCAGACAAATAACTGGGCCTGTGGGAGGTCAGGACACCAGGAAGGTAGGATCAGGAGGGTGGGAAGATGAGGGGGAGAACAACATCCCATTACCACCGCTGCTGTCTCCAGCAGCAATGCCCAGCAGAACTTGGGGGGGAAGGGGAGGATTTGTCACAGCTGGGTCTTGGAGAGCCTTCAGCAAGGCCCCTGTGGAGGCTCTAAATCACACTGATTGCACAGTCAATAAAGAAAATCTCATCAGTCCCAATAACCAGGCTGTCAGCTTTTAAACCTATTTAGATAAAGATCTGTTTATTATTGTGTTGTTAGAAGTCCAGAATAAGTGCATTGACTCGAGTGATGTTAGTGCCACAATGTAGGAAAAGAGTTTTAATATAGACCAGACAAAGGCAAATTCTACTTTTATTTATTCTATATAAGCCTGGACCCACACCTTGGGATGGCTAGTTTAAATTGAGTGCTGCTGCTGATTTCAGAGAGACCACTCTCTGCCCACGTTGATATAACTGAGACCAGAAATCCTCCTATTGTGTAAATTTGTAATTTCTTTCCCAGCCTGCCTGATTGAGCCAAACCAACCCCTCACCTAAGGGAATATCTGCAGGGCAGCTCTTGCTGGGTGCAGTGGGGCAACTCCCTCAGGAGCCCCTTTTTCTTCCCTTTTTGGTGGTCTGATGTGCTGGGGTGGTCACAACTGCCCCTGCCCCAGCCTCCTCTGCATGTGCACATGCAAGATGTGGCCAGGGAAATGAAAGTCCCTGGGAATTTCATTGTGTACCCTGGGAAAAGCTGGTTGAGGAAAGGCAGGTTTACCTGTCAGCACACCTCCTGGAAGCTTCCTGGGCTTCCCTCCCTGCTTCTGCTTCTGGTGTCTCATGCAGTTTGGTTTAAGTGACTATTTAATGTGAACTGTGTGAAATATCTGTGTTTCTGCCAGTGATGGATTTTTTTCAGGAGAAGAAGGAAGAACAGAAGTTTGCTGTTTTCACAAGGACTCTCACCTAGTGTAGTGAAGGGGGCAAAAAGGCTTTTAGTTTGTCCTTAAGGATTGTAGAAGTATGTTTTGAGATGGGGGGGCATTTCTTAAAGTCGTGAAGAAACAAAAGTCCAAGGTTTTAGAAATGGGATTAGTTTTCAGCTAGTGCTGGTCCTTGCTTGCTGAAGAATCTGGCCACCCAGAAGTCTCTTCAGATGGCAAAATCATGTCCCTGTATACACACTTTGAAAGGCTTTCTGAATGAGTAAAAACAAGCAATGCATTTGCTCCTATAAACCAGCAGGAAGTAGTTAGCTCATCTGAGGAAGACTGACTGAATTCTGGATTTTCAGGTTTTTTTTGGTGGAGTGCTTTGAGATAAGAAAGGAGATTTGACTTCTCTGCCAGTTTCAAAAAGGAAGTAATTTGGTGCCAGCATTGTTCAGCACTCTCAGTAACCTATATCCCACCACAGCCTGCAGAGCAATGGGATATTTTTTAGACTTTCCCTCCTATTTTTCTGGTTATGGTTGAGTCTTTGGGCAGCTCTCCTTGTGGGTGTCTGGGATGAAGCCCTTGTGTGGTGCATGTAGGTGATTTCCTTAAGCAAATGGCTCCCAGGGAGTGCTTCTGAAATTCTGCTATCTGCAGGTGCCATCCTTGTGTTATCTGCTGTGTGCCTCAGAACGAGAACAGGTCACAGGCTAGAGTAAGAAGGGCTGGAGTTAAACTTGCGGCAGAAACTGTGATATCCTCCATGAAGCAAGCAGAGATTTCTGTTAAGTGGAGGAAAAAACCCTGAAGAGAGAAAGTATGATGTACCTGATAGTCAACGCTGACATAAATGTGATCAAATTCTCCCAGCTCTTGGAGCACAGGGCAAAGTTAATTTGTCTTCTCTGCACCTGCTGCAGTCTTTCAATAAAAATCACACTTAGTTTTTTTTCCACCAAAGTAGTGGCAACACTTGGCAATAAAGTGTTTCTTAATGACATAACATTATTTGGTTCAATAAATCAAATAATAAATCCCTTGTATTTGGAGTGAGAGGAGGTACATCAGGTCTGATATTTTCAGTGGTGTCAAAATGTGCATGTGTGTATATATGTAACTTGAAATATATAGCTCATTTAATCTTCTCTATATGTGCTTAATAGATGAAATTGTGGCAACTCTAGAACAACAGGAATAACAGCAATAGGAAGAATTTGCTTTACACTGGTTTGGGGAGAGGAACAAACCCATTCTTCCCTGCAGTGCAGCACTATTTCCTTGCCATCCTGGTGGCATATCAATCCAGGCACCATGAGCATCATGCTGCCACCACCTGTAACCCCCATCCCACCCTGGGTGGCAGTTGGGAAGGTTATGTTTCCCTGAGCATCTCCTACCTGCTCTGCAGAGGGTGTGCCTGGCTGGTCCTAGGCGGATTCAGAAAAGGTTCCCAGCCAACCTTTTGGAGCCATGTGATGGCAAATGTTGCACCAGATTAAGAAACTAGTGTCTGCCCTCCCATGTGCATCCTGTTTGGGAGTCTGCACTGCACAGTCCTTGTGGGTTTAAATGGAGGCAGGATGACGGACAACACTGAGAGTTCTATAAGCTGATGTGGTCAGTGCTCATGATACAAGGGAGTAAGCTGGGGAGAAAATGGGCCTCTGCCTGGGTCAGGATTGATTCTCACTTCCCCTGCAGGGTGCAGATATTTCCCTTGCTGTATCACTAAGCTAGTGTTTTATTCTGATACTGCAAAACCTGTGATGGCTAGACCGTGCCTTCCACACAAATGCTATTTTAAACTGGAGCTGGAGGACTACCCCCAGCCAGAGTCCCAATGGGCTCAAGCATGAGGACAACACCCTACAGCATCTTAAGAGAATAACCTTTTCCCAAAACACTTTTAACTCCATGAGCTATGAAGTGACTGCTGTGAGAGCAGCACAGGCTTTGTCACGTACTGACCTTTTGTTGAGCAACTGAGTGTAGAAGACCTTCTGGTAATAATGAGTCAACACTTCAAAGAAAAGACCTACTGCTCTGATAACAGACTCATGTACATAGTAAGCAATTTCAGTGTTCATTTCTTTGACTTCTGATTGTGTAAATTTAGGTATTTGTAAAAGGTAGGCAGCAAAAAGGGCCATGATAGTACAGGCAGGAGTAAGCATTGCCTTCAGAAACCATATCCTCTGCAGGTATGAAGCAGTCTCACCTACTTCTGTCACACAAATTCCCACATCCAGAGAGGCCACAGGATTAAATATACCAGTGTCAAACTGATATAAACCAGGAGTAAATATACAAGGCCACTCCTGTCTTTCATTCTTCCTAGCAGAAAGTAGTTCTCTAATATCTCAAAGCAGTGCTGCGGCAGCTTCATGGTCATGCCTGCCAGCACCTTTCCCTGCAGCCAGAGCAAGGTGACTTCTCCTGCTGCTGCTTTACTTTTTTCTGGTAATAACAACTGGGAACATCACTCAT